CCACAATATCAAAAGGTCTGCACAGAAGGGAATAGAAAGTGAGAAAGGATCTATATATATACCAAGCACAACATGGAGGAAGGAAGTCATAATGCTGACTCTGTGAGATTCATTTCCACAAAGTTCTCTTCCTTCTGTTTTAAATGCCAGGAGTTCTCCTTGAACATAGACTCAGATATTTTTTCCATATGCAGAAAATCATAAAATTGATCCTCCTGGTGTTCCGGATGCACAAAGCAGATACTCTGAGCTGTCCTGCAAGTGATGCTTTCCCTGTTCCACATGAGTGGTATCAGCCTGGTGACCTCGTCATCGGTGGGATGATGTCTCACTTGATTTACCATTTCTATCAAACTCTATTCAAACAACATCCTTTTCTCAACCTTTATGATTCACCAATGTAAAGGTTTTCCTTTGAATCATCTGACCTTAGACCCACATAGCAAAGAATCATTTATATGACTGTTTGTGTAGGAAATGTAGAGTTTTTCATGTAAATGTAAGAATTCTTTGTGTTTTGAAAGCTTTCTAGTGGTGAGAGAAGAGGGAACTTTGTTTGTGATTGTTTCATCAACAACGTTCTCATAAGTAAAGCATATTCGATTGTGTGGAAATTATCAAAAAGAAGAATATTAAAAAAAAAATCAGCTCTGCCACATTTCACAACAGAAAAATAAAGGTGCTTTTCCAAAAGGCAACTGGACATTCTTGGTATTTCCTTTGAAAAGATTTTGCTTCTCATCCAAGAAGCTTCTTGCTCTGTTTCAGTTCTGGAAGCTTCTTGGATGAGAAGCAAAATTTTATCCGTGGGCTGTCAGACTCCTGAATGCAACATAACATCATAAGCATAAACAATAGACTTGCAGGGCAGGTGCAACATATTTGTGCAATATATCATAATGCAATGTTACGCACATATATGTATAGAGGATTGTGTGTTGTTAGTATGATTTATTGGGTTAGGGACTTTCTTTCTTTCACTGTGAGTTATCGATATGTATTTATGTTGGGTGGGTGCATGAAGGGAGGTTCAGCTAATCTCATTGTACACGTGTTGTTCTTTGACAATAAAGGTTGAATTTAAAATATTTTCAAAGAAAAAAAAACCTAAGAAAGTCCAGTTGCCTTTTGGAAAAGCACTTTTGGGGCAACCATGACCAGGATGACTGAGAATCTGCATAGACATAAATATTGGAAGTTAGTTAAATTATTGGCATTCTGTTTTACTGAACAGGTAAGGAATGATAGGATAGAGTAAAGGTGTTTTAATATTTCTATCTTGCAGCCAAAGTGGACACACACCTTAGATATTGATTCTGGGGAACTTAGAATTTTGAGAAATCATAGAACATTCCTTCAGAACTGAAAAGATTCAGATGAAGAAGATCTATGGGTTTAGGGAGAATCTCACCCTTAATCTATAATTCTTTCTAATTCAGTAAAGTTCCTAGAAAACTAAATCAACAGAGAAAACAAGCCACAGCATTCTGAGTTAAACTGAATGCTGAAGTTAAGACTCCATAAATTAATATAGTATGCCTTATGATGAGTAACTTTCTAGAAAAATATAAAGGAAAAAAAAGTTGTATGCAAAATACATTTGGACTGATAAAAAAATTATTTAATACTTCAGTCAGAAACAAGTTTTCTTGTAGTCAGTTACAAACAGTACCATACTAAAATAATTTGCAAAATTATTCTTCTTCTTCTCTTTTATTCATTAAAAATGACACACAGTCAACTGGACATTTAAAAATGTGTCACAAATACCATTGATGGTGCTAATGTTGATACGGGTTGCTACCAGCATCCTAGATATCAACCAATTATTATTATTATTATTATTATTATTATTATTATTATTATTATTATTATTATTATTATTATTATTACTATTACTATTAATCTATTTGCAGTGTATTAACCAAATTCTATCAACACATCCTTGCCTTGGCCTTTGCTGTGAAGGAGATCAATGAAGACCCCCAGATCTTACCTAACATCACTCTTGGGTTCCACATCTATGACAGTTACCACAATCCAAGGATGACTTATCGCACCACTGTGGACCTCCTTTTCAAATCCCAGGAATTTATCCCTAACTACAAATGTGATAGCCAGAAGAATCTGATGGCTATCATTGGGGGATTAAGTTCTGATACATCATCTAATATAGCTGAAGTTGTAGGTTTTTACAAGATTCCACAGGTAAGTATGGAGGAGATGAACAGAAAAAAATTGTACTTTGTTGTTATGGCATAATTACTGAGATATTAGATTTGTATTAAGACTTTCTACAGACCTTAAGTTATAATACTTCACAGTCTTTTATGAAGCTACAATGCCAATCATAGAAGTGAGTTATCTAGAGTCATTCCATTCCATACCATAGATTTGAATGTAGCACATTCTCGTCTTGTTCAAACAAATGAACTATTATAATGTGTTTGAAATAATTCCTAGAAATTCCATTCTATATTAATATTTCAAAAGAAATAGAGGAAAAGTTCCTTCTTTGGAGATCTTTTACAGGAAAACTAGAAAGATTGGATTTGAGCTAATGACTCAACAAAGTATTATTCTGCTTTATTTTAGCTGACATATGGCTCTTTAGCCCAAGAAGAGTTTCAGAGCAGCAAACGCTCGTCACTTTATTTCATGGTCCCAAAAGAGGACCATCAATACATTGGAATTATCCAACTGCTTCATCATTTCAGATGGTCATGGATTGGGATTTTTACTATGGATAACAACAACGGAGAACATTTCCTACATAAAATGCAGCCCATGCTTTCACAAAATGGAATCTGTTCATCATTCATACAAAGGATTTCACAACTAATCCACTTTGAACACTATATCGAACTTTCTCACATGCTCTCAGATATTTCCACTAATTTGAGGAATAGCAACACCACCACATTTCTCGTCTATGGTGAATCGCTGACAATTATGGGGCTCAGGGCTATCATGTTTGTAGCAGATCCTGAAAACAAGCAAACTGCATCATTTGGAAAGGTGTGGATCATGACTGCACAGATTGATTTTATGCTGTCCGGCTTTCAAATCAGTTGGGATCTCCAAATGTTCCATGGGGCTCTTTCCTTCACTGTTCATTCAAGAGCAGTTGTAGGTTTCAAGGAGTTTCTTCAGACCATCAAGCCTCATGCAGACCACAGAGATGGGTTTCTGCAAGATGTTTGGGAACAATCATTTGATTGTTCATTCTCAAAATCAGAATTACAAGAAATGTCCAATAGGCAGTGCCCAGTGGAAAAGAAACTGGAGGATCTTCCTGGGCCTGTGTTTGAAATGGAAATGACTGGCCAAAGCTACAGTGTCTACAATGCTGTTTATTCTGTGGCTCATGCTTTGCAGGCTCTATTCATGTCGGGGTTCAATAAGAAAAAAACAATGATGGGTAAAAAAACTGACTTTCCATATCTGCAGCCTTGGCAGGTATTCTCTCTGCATTGGACACTTCTTTTATTTCAATGAGCAATTTGATCTAGAATTATCATCTGAACCTACCCTCAAAACGATGCTATAGAGCATTACACACCATAACAACTAGACACAAGAACAGTTTTTTTCCCAAACACCATCACTCTGCTAAACAAATAATTCCCTCAACACTGTCAAACTATTTACTAAGTCTGCGCTACTATTAATCTTCTCATTGTTCCCATCACCCATCTCCTTCCACATATGACTGTATGACTGTAACTTTGTTGCTGGTATCCTTAAGATTTATATTGACTGCTTCCTAATATGATCTGATTGCCTTTTAGTACCCTATGACTATCATTAAATGTACCTTATGATTCTTGATGAACGTATCTTTTCTTTTATGTACACTGAGAGCATAAGCATCAAGACAAATTCCTAGTGTGTCCAATCACACTTGGCCAATAAAAATTTCTCTATTCTATCTATTCTATTCTATTCTATTCTATTCTATTCTATTCTATTCTATTCTATTCTATTCTATTCTATTCTATTCTATTCTATTCTATTCTATTCTGGAAAGCCCTAATATTTTATGCTTATAAAATCCAGTTAGGTATGAACACCAAGAAACTACTATATTGTTAAGCAACACAATTAAGGGAACCTGGCTTCCCCATCGATTTTGCTTGTCAGAAGGAGGCAAAGGTCATAAATGTGAAAACAGGTCATAAGTCACTTTTTTCAGTGTCATCATAACTTCAAACAGTCACTAAACAAGCTGTTGTAAATAGAAGACTACTTATATTATCCGTCCAACTCTCTATTTCTTTCATTCTCTTTCACATAGCTCCATCCGTTTCTACATGGCATTTCTTTTAACAATTCAGCTGGAGAGAAAGTTTCCCTGAATGAAAAAGGGGAAGTAATGGGTGGATTTGATATCATCAACCTCATCACATTTCCCAATCGGTCTTTTCAAAGAGTTAGAGTCGGAAGAATAGATCCGGGTTCTCCAACAGGCAAAGAATTATTCTTTGATGAAGATCTGATTGTCTGGCACCCAGCTTTTAACCAGGCATGGACTCATTTCATGGACTATATCTTGAGCTATTATGATCCCAAATAGAGTCTCTTGAACCATATTGAGCAAAGCCTCTTTAGAAATCTAATTTCTATGTTTGTAAGAAAAAATAGCATACTATGAACAAATATGGCCCAGGATCAAGCATTAATCAAATTGACAAAATGATCTTACAATGTAAAAGTCAGGTTTTCTTTTTAGTTGCAAATTATGGATAATTTGCATAATTTGCCTTTCAAATTATGGATGTTGCCTTATTTCTGTAACAGAAATGTTATTTCTGTAACATTTTTATCCCGCATATTTATTTATTCACCTTGCCTTTTTCAAAGAGACCTTTTTCCTCATCATTGTAACTTCAACAACTATTAATGTTTTAATATAAATCCAGCTAGGTAATATTCACTTAGGCCTCAGGGAAGTAAAGATTTCTCTAGCCCAATAGAAGAGAATGATTAATAACTCACAAATGAAGGTGTCCCAGGATAATCTTGAAGAATCTACTCTGAGTCAGTCACTGATCCACCTTTGGTCACGGTGACTGTCCCAGATTAGTTCCTGCAGGATTAATAAATGTTTTTTTCTAAAACCACCCTTTCAAAGAATCTTTTATGTTTATCACCAGGTACTTCCAATTTCTCTGTGTAATAACCATTGCTCCCCTGGATACTGGAAAAAGGAGATTGAAGGAAAACAATTCTGTTGCTATGACTGTGTTCCATGTCCAGAAGGGAAGATTTCAAATCAAAAGGGTAGGTTAGACATTCCAGGACGTTTTCATTAGGTTGATTTAAGCAATCGAAGAGGAGCGGTGGTTCAATGGCTTAATGACGCTGGAGAAGATCATTAAGCTCCAACGGTTTGAATCCTAGCACTGTGTGGTGTGGTGAGCTTCTGTCACTCTCTCAGCTTCTGCCGATCTAGCAGAAAGTATGTTATATGCAAGTAGATAAATAGGTACCACTTCAGTGGGGAGATGAGCTGGCACTTCATGCATCCTTTCTGATGCAGAGCTAGCTCGCCCCCCTTTGAAGATGTTTCGCTTCTCATCCAGGAAGCTTTTTCAACTCTGACTGGATGGGCGGGAATTGAAGGATTTACATTCCTTGGAGACAGCTAGTCATTTGCTTTCTTTTAAACAGTGGTTCAGGACACTTGGAGGGTCACCTGAGTAGTGCAAATGGTATGGAGCCTTCTTGAAACTGCTGAAAGGACTGTGTTGTGGAACTGTGCTTTCTGCAGCTGAGTTTCTTTCTGCCTTGTGTCCCTTCACCGTTGAAGACAGACACAGGCTGTTGGGGATGAGTCTGTGTTGTCTGCTTGAATTTGAATACTATGGAATACCTAGATGATAAATCCCTTGATTTTCCTTCCAGATATGGATGACTGTTTTGAATGTTCAGAAGATCATTATCCAAATGAAGAAAAGAATGGATGTATCCTGAAACTGGTGATGTTTCTAACATTTGAAGAAACCTTAGGAATTGGTTTAGTCTCAGCAGCTCTTTGTTTCTTCTTCTTGACATCTTGGGTACTTGGAACTTTTATTAAGCACAGGGATACTCCTATTGTCAAAGCCAACAACCGGTCCCTCACTTACACCCTCCTGGTCTCTCTTCTCCTCTGTTTTCTCTCCTCTTTCTTCTTCCTCAGCCAACCTGGCAATGTGACTTGCCTTCTCCGACAACCAACTTTTGGCATCACCTTCTCAGTGGCCATTTCTAGTGTTCTGGCTAAAACTATCACCGTGGTTGTTGCTTTCATGGCCACTAAACCAGGTTCTCAGATGAGGAAGTGGGTAGGGAAAAGATTGGCTTTTTCTATCGTCCTCTCGTGTTCTCTGTTACAAGCATGCATTAGTATTCTTTGGTTGTCAACATCTCCCCCATTCCCTGAGTTGGACATGCATTCAGAGCTCCAGGAAATGATTTTACAGTGCAATGAAGGGTCAGCTTTCTTCTTCTACTGTGTCTTGGGCTTCATGGGTATCTTGGCCGTCGCCAGCTTTATTGTGGCTTTCCTTGCTCGTAAATTACCTGACAGCTTTAATGAAGCCAAATTCATCACTTTCAGCATGTTGGCCTTTTGCAGTGTGTGGATCTCCTTCTTTCCAGCGTATCTGAGCACAAAGGGAAAAGCCATGATAGCTGTGGAGGTTTTCTCCATCTTGGCCTCCAGTGCTGCATTACTGGGATGCATATTCCTGCCAAAATGCTACACCATTATTTTGCGACCTGACCTCAACCACAGGGAGCAACTCACAAAGAGAAATTAATATATCATGTGTTCTTTCTGGCTCCCCTAATTAAAAGATCAAAGGTGAGTTGTACACAATTTCAGGGAAAGAACCTGATATTTGGTGCCTTTGCAATTTATACTCTTTCTTTCATTGAGGTTTCTCTATAATTTCTAGATTTAAAGGGATTCTAGCCTGGTCTAGTGGGTAAGGAACTGCGGTAGAAAGGAAGGGACCATGAGTTCAAGCCATGAAAGCCAGCTGGATAACTTTGGACCAAACACTGTTTTTCAGACCAGTGTACCTCAAAGGGTTGTTGCTATGTGGAAAAAATAAGGGGGATGGTATATTGGATATGTTTGCTGCCTTTGGTTGTTTGTAAAAATAATAAAGTGGTATATATTGTAAAAAAAATAAACAAATAAATGAAATGAAATACTAAAATGAAATGAAATAATAAAATGAAATAAAATAAAATATAAAATAAAGTAATAAAATGAAACGAACCTGCTATGGCAAGTGAAAGGGATTGAAAGGTGTAAAATGTATGATGACATCATTAGCTAAATTCCACCCAGTTTGTAAATGCATAATGAGCTGCATAAAAGGATGTCATTTCCATGCCATGTTTACTGTTATGTTTTATTATAATTTATTATAAATAGATCGCTAAATAGCTAGGAAGCTAGATATCGAGATATCCAGAGAGAGAGAAGGGAGGGAGGGAGGGGGGAGAGGGAGAATGGGAGGGAGAGGAATAGAAAAAACGAGAGAGAGAGATGGATGTACAGACGTACAGACGTACAGATGTACAGACGTACAGACGCACAGACACATTGATTCTATGCACAGGACAAGTAGCCCAAACTGCACAGGAAAGTGCAACCCTAATTCAGATAGAAACTAGTTACTCTGTACTTCTCTGCAAGTGATGCTTCAAGGATAAGTAAAATCCTTGAACAAACCTTATGACATACAGTGGAAGGAGTTCTATTTATTCATTCATTTATTCACACATTTAAGAGAATGCATATGGCCACTCAATCACTTTCAGTGTCTCTGAGATGCTTTTAAAATAATTAAAAATATACAAAGAATAAAAACCCACCACTAGGAATAAAACCCAATCAGTTGAGCCACTTCATAGGTTCCAACCCATTCTGGGTTTCATAGGCCTATTGACAAAATCAGGACTTTGCAAAAGAGGGTCAAAGTGGGGACCAATCTAATCTCAGCGTGGATGATTTTCCAGAGGGAGGGAGCCATCACAAAGAAGACACTTCTTCTGGGTCCCACCAGATGTCCTGATTTAAGAGAGAGGATACATAACATTCCCTGCCTCCCTGTTCCACTGGATCACATGGATGTGATCAGGAAGAGACAGTTCTTCAAATAACCTGGTCCCAAGCCATGTAGAGTTAAAAGTGACAACCAGCACCTTGAATTGTACCCAGAAGAAAATTGTCAGCCAATGCAACTACCACAGGAAAGGTGACACAACTAGGTCTGCAGAAAACCATACGGGTGGCTGAATCTGGAAACAATTGGAGCTTACGGATACTTTTAAAGGACAGCCCCATGTAGAGTCCCATGTAGAGCTGATGATCCCATAATTGGCGGCCTGGTGTCCCACATAGTTTATCGCTTTTATGAATTGAAATTTAAGGAACATCCTTGTATAAAGCCTTATGACTTCCCATTGTAAAAGGTGTTTTTTTTTTTCCTTTTTATAATCTTTACCAGTTCCCCCAAAATTTCTTATATGAATAAAAGTTGTTTTGCAAAAATATAGGCTTCATTTTTAATCTATAACTTCTCTGTTTTTGAAATGTTTCTAATTGTAGGAAAAGAAATAATATTCTTTAGAATATGTTAAAGCAGGGGTGTCAAATTCAGTTTCATTGAGATGTCAGGTTCCAGGCTAATAAGAAAGAAGGACCCAAGCAAACTAGGTTTGTTGCTGCCTTTTCTTTGTTTCTGGGACTCACTGACAATCCAAGAAGGAACTATTGTTAGGGCTAACAGCCCATGTGCCAGCCGGCCTGGGGTTGCCATTTGGAGGGGAGGCGACTACCCACCTGCTGAAGTCCTGGGAGGGCTGAATATTTCTGTGCGGTAGGACCGACTGCCTCTTGGCTTCGGCCTGGTCTACTCAATGCAAAGAGGAAACATGCCAGAAGTTTGGGGAGTGGCATCAAGCTGGCCATGCCTACCCAGTTGGCCACACCCACTCAGTTGGCCATGCCCAACTGAGGTCATCCAAAGCCCTGATGTGGCCCTCATATCAGCCCTGGCGTGCCAGCCAGCCCAGGACTGCCATTTGGAGGGGAGGCGACCACCCAGCTGCTGAAGTCCTGGGAGGGCTGAATATTTCTGTGTAGCATGACCGACTGCCTGGGGAAGCCACGGAATCACCCAAACCCATCCTTCCACTCCAAGGGTCTGTAGCGTGGCCGCTGCACAGCTGAGAGGCGGCCACGCACCAATGATGTCATCAGGCAGATCGGCATGATCAGGAAAAACTGCTGTTGCCCTCTCTGCCTTCAGACTGGACTTTCCTGGCTGCTGTCCTGCCAGGGCTGATGAGCAGCGCAGTGGGTGGCTCTCCTGTGAGTGGCATGTGATGGGATGCCATGTAAATAGGGGCATTGCACGGGCAGACCCGGAAGTGCAGCACTTCTGGGTCATAGGGGGAGGAAACAACATGCATGATTGGGTGGCGTTTAAAAGGGTATTAACAATAGTTCCTTCTTGGATTGTTAGTGAGTGCCAGAAATAAAGAAAAGGCAGCAACAAACCTAGTTTGCTTGTGTCCTTCTTTCTTATTAGCCTGGAAACTGACAGAATTGTTAGGACTCTTTCACAAAAGCCATGACTGAAGGCATGGTACCTGAATTGGAGGCAGCTGATTTTGAAGAGTCAGCAGATACCACTGAAGCTACTGTGCTGGAGGGTTCTCCTCAAGCAGAAGGCACCCCTGTGAATGTTTGGCCTAAGGAACAACCAGGCGAGCATAAGCCTTCAGAGACCCAAATGCAACCGCTGGAAACTGACCCAGGTGACTTGAGGGACTGGTGGTTAGGAAATACCAGGGCAGTGGATTTTAGAGCCCATCTACCACCAGGACCCCTGCTCACTCCGTCAGGAGAGCATTTCACCCAATGGAGGGAGCATAGAATTTCTGATGATGATAATTGGTGCTACAGGAGATGTATGGGGCAGCTGGTTTTAGAGAGCTGGGCAATTGCAGTGTTTGGCAGGGGCATGTTGGAGGCCCCCCTCCCTCCCATGGAGCCAGGTCTTGAGTGCCGCCCCCGGTGTTCTCGGATGCCAAGTGCGG